TGGCCAGCTCTTCCAGACGCTGCCCCAACTGCTTCCGCTCCAGAGGGTGGTCCCCGGGCACCGCCAAGCAGGCCACGTACGCCCGCAGCGCTGCCTGCTTCTGCCCCTTCTTCCGGACGAGGAAATCCCCCCAATGAATATAGAAAGACTGCTGGCACCTCTTGCTGGCGGTTGGCAGGGCCTCCATCATGCCCAGGTACACCTCCTCCTCGTAAAGCGGGCACCGTTCTCCGTACAACTTCGCCAGCTTCAGCTGGGAAAACATGGATTCAGGATTGGCTTCCAGAGACCGTTTGAAGTACCCAATGGCCGCCTTCACGATCGCCGGTCGGTACTTGTCGAATCCTCGATCTAAGAGATCCATGTAACAGATGCCTAGGTCGTAGTACAGGAGATAGTAATCACCGCAGAGGGAGATGGCCTTCCTGAGGGTGGAAATGGCCTTGAAGAGAAAGTGGAACTTATAAATCTTGGCGGCAATTCTCAGGAGTTCCGGGTTGTGACTGTTCTGCACCACATCGTTGGCAAGATGCCACACCCTTTCATCATCTTTCCTACAGAGAATCTGTGCCAAGTATACTTTGGCTTCATAATTTTCGGGGTGGCTACAGATCAGCCCTTCCAGCAACTTCTGGCTCTCTTCCTCTAACTTCTCGTCATAGCACTGTGTCCAGGAAGCGAAGGCGGAGAAAGCCAGGCCCTCCTGCAGCTCCACGCTTGATTCCTGCAGCTCCAGGGCCTTCTGGAAACATTCCTTGGCCAGATGGCCATTCCGGAAGCCCATGGCCAAGAGGGACCAGCCCTTCTGGGCGTAGACCTCCGGGATCGGGGCGGAGTAAGTCTCAGGGCTGGATAGGTTCTGGCAGATCTGGCGGATCTGGGCCAAGTAGAGATCCACCTTGTCATAATCGGTCAAGTGGTAATAGATCCAGGCGTAGTTCCCGTACACCAGCAGGGCCTGGCGTGAGAAGGTCCCCTGAGGCTCCTTCCTCAGGACCTCCTTGGCTTCCTGCAGGATGGCCAGGGCCTCTTTGGGGCTCCCCTCCAGGTGGTGCAGGTAGGCCTTGAGGGCAAGGTAGGTGCCCCGGTTGCAGAGGGGGCCGTGCTCCAGGCGGAAAGCCAGAGTAATCAAGGTGTGTCGGATGTTCATCTTGTCCTTGACCTCAAAGTCCCAGGTGAAGTGACACTGAAGGCGCTGGAGCTTCTCCTTCAGGGGTCTGCTGCGGGGGAGAGGAGAGTGGGGGAAGGAGAAGACAAAAGTGGAGGAGGCCCGGGTGAGTGGCAAAGGACGCCTTGTTCTGACCAAGGCTTCCTCAACCATAATTACACAGACACTTATTTTAAAAACAAGACTTATTTTAATGCAACCCTGGGAATTGTTTTCATTCCTAGCCGGTAATGAATCTCAAACAGTTCCTCGAGATAAGCACCCACCTTTCTTTTCTGTGAAGTGCTGCCAAGAACAGAAGTATCAAATGAACTAAAAAGAAAACCAATCGAAGTACCAAGAGCTTCAAGAATGAATCTGAACCGAACGAATGACTTTGCTTCCTGCAAAGGTTTCATCATCTTTGCCTGACCTTTATACTTTATGGAGGGGCAATCGCCTCCCAGGCTTACTCCCGAGTCACCCCTTTTATTTCAGCTGCTCTCGTCTTCTGGCAGCTCTGTGCACACGCACACTGGGAACAGGCTCCCCT